CCAAACGGAAAACTGTAAATCGAAAAATTGAAGAAGCCATGAAAAATGAAAAATATAAAAAGTGAAGCATCCAAAAGTTGGAAAATCGAAAAAAATTAAAAAATGAAAACTCGAAGAGTTGAATGTCATATAATTGAAATTGAAAAAACAAAAAATTATAAAATCGAAACATTGAAAAATTTAATAATAAAAGTTAAGAGAAAAACCCGAAATGAAAAATTTCAAAATCTAAACATTCAAGAATTCAAATGAGAAACTTAAAAAATTGAAAAATTAGAAAGAAAAAACGAATTGAATCGAAAAATTGGAAAATCCAAAAATTGTAAAATGGGAAAATGATAGAATCCTCAAAATCAGTGGCGGCTGGTGGGTCAAAATTTCGGGTCGGCCAAATATTTTGAGTCTACACCTTGGTGTTATATATTTTCGTAATGTATGGCTGCTACTCATTAACCACTGACATTTTACGTGCCAGGATGTACAAAACATCTCAAATGTTTCGACCTGTTAAAATAATTTTTTATAGGAAATTGACAATGTCAGTTTGATTCCAAATACTATTAATCCTTAATTCTACTTGTTCTGCTTTATCATTAATTGAGAACCACCGAAAACATTATTTTTACTGAGTTCCGCGTCGACCGGCGGCTATACGGCTTGCCGACCCCGGACATCCACAATTAAATAATAATAATTAAATAATGACATGCAGTTAAAAAATATAAAAAAAGTAATAATAAAAGTACCAACTGTTAACTATCTTCATTTACATTTATTTTTTTTTAATGTATATGACAAATTGTCAAATAAATTAATTGAATAATTGAAAAATTAAAATGATTTAAAACTTTAAATTCGTTTCTGAAATATCTGAAAACGCTTAGATGCTAAAAATACAGAAAAAGCGCATTTATGTTGTAGCTAAGTTATGTACGAAAAATAAAATTTTAGATAATTTAATGTAATTTTTTTCGTTTATTATTCATACACAGAAAAATGTATTAAATCGACAATTATTATTAAAAAAAAATAGTATGCACTGAAGAACATCGAAGCCGTTATTGTTTTGTAATTTGGTTAGCTATCTTAAATATTAAGCGTTTTAAAAACTAAATTCGCGTTGCTGGGTACGGCGAAGGAGGATTTCGCCGGACCTGGCACAACATACGTTCCGCCAGGTCTTTGTCTACTACAGTGTACTAGACAAAGAGAACGATGAAACCGTAAGCTGCTACGAAGTCGAAACATCGAGTATAATGCATTCCTGGGTACGGCTTGCCGAAATCTCGCCGGCAAAGCGTGTTTATCAGCATTTAAAATTAGCAACAAATGCTTTATTTTGTACCTACAATATAATAAAATATGTTTTTAATATATATGATCTATCCTAACGTACATTCAAACTTTATTTCTTTTTTTATTTTCTAATTTCAACGCTTACTAAGTATTTTAAAATGACTGGTACGGCGTGGCCGACCCTGCCGCCCCTGACCAGCCGCCCCTGCTCAAAATTGTGAAATAGACAAACTGTAACATTGAAAGATCGAGAAAATGAAGAATTAAAAATCGAAAAATTGAATAAATGAAAAAGTTTAAAAATCCAATAATTAATTCTAAAATTGTAAAATTGAGAAAGTATTTTTTTTAAAACTTGAAAAATAAAAATTGAAGAAACGAAAAATTGAAAACTGAAAAATTATAAAATTGGAACATGGAAAAAGCGAAAAATTGAAAAAAATATAGAAAATAAAAAATCGAAACGAAAAATGACAAATCGAAAAAACGAAGAAATGACAAATTGAAAAGTCGAAAAATGAAAAATTCTTAAATTTGCAAAATCTAGAAATTGAAACACCTAAAAATTGGAAAATCGAAAAAGGGAATTTTTTTTTTTAATTAAATTGAAGATTAGAAAAAAACGAAAAACTGAAAGTTTTAAAAATTAGTACTATTATTACATAATTAAAATGACAACTAGAAAAATCGTAAATCAAAAGTTGAAGAAACGAAAATTTGAAAAATCATGAAAGTGAAAAATCTAAAATTAAAAAATGAAATATGAAAAGATCCAAAAGTTGAAAAATTTTTCAATTTTACAATTTTTAAAGTTTTCCATTTTTTTTCATTCGAAAAGTTAAAAAATCGAAAAATTGAAAGAAAAAGAAAATAAACCCAAACGAAAAATTCCAGAAGACATAAAAAAATTGAAAAATCTAAAAAGTGAAACATCCAAGAGTTGGAAAATCGAAAAAAAACTTAGAAATGAAAACTCGAGGAGTTATCGTAAAATTGAAGAAACAAGAAGAAACGAAAAATTGAAAAAACAAAACATCATAAAATCGGAACATTGAAAAATTTCAAAATCTAGGAATTGAAAAATTCGAAAGTTGGAAAATTGAAAAGCTGAAAATTTAAACCCGAAAACAGGAAAAATGGCAAATCGAAAAACTGAAGGAACAAAAAAAATGAAAAATTTTACATTAAAAAAAAGAAAAGTGATAAAATCAGGCCATTTAAAAATCGAAAAATTGAAAAAATAAAGAAAATAAAATACCGAAATGAAAAATTGAAAGGTTAAAAATTCAGACATTTAAAAATGGAAATATTGAAAGAAAAAAGAAATAAATCGAAACGAAAAATTGTAAATCGAAAAAGTGGATAAGACATGAAAAATTGAAAAATCTAAAATGTGAATCATCCAAAAGTTGGGATGTCGAAAAAACGTAAAAATGAAAAATTGAAGAAACAAAAAATTGAATGACATAAATAATAAAGAAAAAAATCCCGAAACGAAACATTTAAAAATTGAGAAATTCAAAATTTAAGATTGAAAACAGTTAAAATTGAAAATGGAAAAACTGAAGGAACAAAAAATGAAAAATACAACAATTGAAAAATTTCACAACTAAAAAAAGGAAAATGATAATAAAAAAATAAATCTAAACGCAAAATTGTAAATCGAAACATAGAAAAATTGATTAATAAAAAAAATAAGAAATGAAAAATTTTTAATATAAAAACTGGAAAATTGGAAAACTGAAAATTTAAACTCGAAAACTGAAAAAATTGCAAATCGAAAAACTGAAGAAACAAAAAAAATGAAACACTGAAAAGCTAAAAATCCAGAAACTTATAAATCGAAAAATTGGAAAGAAGAAAAAACGAATTGAATCGAAAATTTAAAAAACCCACAAATTGTAAAATTACAGAACCCTCAAAATTATGAAATCAAAAAACTGAATAAATGAAAAAATTTTAAAATCCAATATTTAATTCTAAAATTTTAAAATTGCAAAAGTGATTTTTTTAACCAGAATTATTAATACATTTTTAAAATGAAAACTAGAAAAATTGCAAATCAAAAATTGAAAAATTAAAAAATTTCACATTAAAAAAAGAGAAATTATAAAATCGGAAAACTGAAAAATTAAACAAAATAAAAAAAGGAAAATCGAAAAAATGAAAAAATGGCAAATTGAAAAATCGAAAATTGGAAAACTCTTGAAAATGCAAAATCGAAAAATTGAAAAATTGAAATTGAAAAAAAAATTATAAGAGCAGAACATTGAAAAATCGAAAAATTGTGAAAATAAAGAAAAAATAAAACCGAAAAGAAAAATTGCAAATCGAAAATTTGCAAAGTCGAATAAGTGAAAAAGTTTTAAAAAATATTTAATTATTACAAATTTAAAATGACATCTAATAAAAGTTGAAAAATCGAAAAATTGAAGATCAAAATATTGAGAAATTCAAAAATTGAAAAAATTTTCAATTGTACAATTTTTAAATTTTTCCATTTTTTTCATTCGAAAAGTTGAAAAATCGAAAAATTGAAAGGTTCAGAACATTAAAAAATGGATATATTGAAAGAAGAAGAAAAACTGAAAAATTCAAAAGTTAGAAAATTGAAAATTTAAACTTGAAAACTGAAAAAAATTACAAATCCAGAAACTTAAAAATCGAAAAATTGGAAAAAAGAAAAAACGAATTGAATTGAAAAATTGAAAAACCCAAAAATTGAAAATGGGATAATTATAGAATTCTCAGAATTGCGAAATCGAAAAACTGTAACATTAAAAGATCATTAAAAATCGAAAAATTGAATAAACGAAAAAGTGTTTTTTTTTAAATTGTGATTATTATCACATTTTTTGTAGTGAAACCTAGAAAAATTGGAAATCAAAAATTTAAGAAACGAAAAATTGAAGAAAATAAAAAATCGAAACGAAAAATGGCAAATCGAAAAATGGAAAACTCCTGAAATTGCAAAATCTAAAAATTGTAACATCCAAAAGTTGGAAAATTGTAAAAGTGAAAAATTTACAAATGAAAACTCGAACAGTTGCCATGTCGTAAAATTGAAGATACAAAAAAAATGGAAAGCTAAAAAATTGAAAAAAGCAAAAAGTTACGAGATCAAAACATTGAAAAATCGGAAAATTGTAAAACTAAAGAAAATAAAAAACCGAAAATTAAACATCGTGAAATTGAAGAAACAAAAAGAAATGATAAATTGAAGAAATTGAAAAAACAAAAACTCATAAAATCGAAACATTAAATAGTAAAACAATAAAGAAAATAAAAAAGCGAATCGAAAAATTTCAAATTCTAAAAATTGAAAAGTTGGAAATGAAAAAATTGCAAATCGAAAAACTGAAGAAAGAAACGAATGAAAAATGCAACAATTGAAAAATTTCACATTGAAAAAAAAGTGGAAAAATCAGAAAAATTGAAAGGTTATCAATTCAAAACATTTAAAAATGGAAATATTGAAAGAAAAAGAAAATAAATCAAACGAAAAATTGTATAACAAAAAATTGAAGAAGACATGAAAAATTGAAATCAAAAAGAAATGAAAATTTCAATAAACGAAAAATTTCAAAATCTATAAGTTGGAAAATTGAAAAACTGAAAATTCAGACTTGAAAAATGGAAAAATTGCAAATATAATGTTTTAATGTATATTAATCACCCTCAATAAACATTACATTTTTTTCCAGTGTTGAGACCATTGCGGTCGCCCCCAAGCGCCTCCCGCCGTCGTTGTCGGACCGCCCCCAGAGCTCCATGAGCTCGGGGGTCACCAGCGCCATCGTGGACGGCTGTGGCGGAAAATGCCAAACGTTCGAAAACGTTTGCTATTTTATCCTCCAGGTAGTAATCAACACACGTGCTTTTGCCACCCCTTGACTCACATTTTTCGTTACGCAGTTGGTATTCATGATGGGTATCTTGATCGGAGTGAGCTTATGCATAGCCGGCTTGGTCCTGCGCAAATCGGCGGCCCGAAATCTGCAAGTTCTGGTCTACATCGGCGTCCTCTTGGCCACCGTCAGTGGGTTGCTCCTCGGCATTCAGTGGAACGCGAGACACCTGGCCAAAAAGCGCAAGATGGCGGTGCGGAACGCCAAGCGGGCCCCCATCCCTCTCGAGCCTCTGAATTGCCGGGGTCAGGCGCAGCAGCCCCTCATGGCCGTGCACGACGGACAGAGGTACGACTATGACTTGCTGAGTTTAGTGTGTTGTAACGAGTGTGGTTACAGGGTGGTGCCGCAGGTCGTGAGGCCGGCGCAGCCCGATCAGCAGGGCATCCCGTGGTGGCGGCGCAAGGACCTTACTTAAGACTGACGTGTACAAAGTGTATATTTTGAGAGTATTTTTGTATTTTCTACCTCACTAATGTTTTATCTAGTCTAGGCGAGTTAAATAAAACAGTGATTGTTGTTACTTTGTTTAATTTAGAAAAGATTAAGAACAACGGATTTGTAAAGTTTTCCTTAAAAAAACAACCAGACTAACCTAAACAAATAAATTACGTTACAACTAATAAATGCAGTCGTCATGTCTTTTCACGAGGAAATCCAGGAGGGATAGTTTGGAATGTTTCGAAAATACAGATCTACATCAAGAGATTTCTTAAGTACATTACGAACCAGCGTAATTTTTAAGAAAATAGCGACGTTTCGTCTATTCTACGGTGCACGACTTCAACATCGAATTTCTATTGCTGTTTCAAAAATAACTCTTAAGCGGAAGCATCGTTTCTTAAAGTACTCACAGCTGGTTAAGTGATAAGCTAAGTGATTGTGTAGACTAAATTAAGATACATTTTATACAATGTAATCGTTACGTGGACGTTTTTCGTTGAACTTAAGTCTCTTCGTGGGCGGATGGGTTCAAAGGACGTAGCACAATCCGGGGGTCACTCTCGACCATACGGTCCGTATCTTCGTTTCTACAAACAACCATCAGAAACCCAACCACAGAGTCGCTCTACTCACATCAACTCTTTATTTTCTTGGGGCATCAGCTTGCTCTGTTCTGTGTCCTCCTGGGCTGGTTGATACGCCACCTCCGACACAGGGGCGTATTGAGCAGAAACCAAAAAGTCAGTAGACGGATTAACAGTGAGCGCCTGCCCCCCGGACGCGTTCAAGTGGTCTTTCGCGTTCCTCCAGCAAATCCGGCGGGTCAACCTCATAAAAAACACTGAAACTAACATTGAGTACCCTTAATAACGTCAAAAAACCGTATTTACCAAATAGCAATATCGAGAGAGCGAAGAAAATCGCCCCGAAAATAGTAATGACTAAGTAGACTTCTTCTTTGTCTTCTGGCGTGTCGGAATACCCCATGGCGCCATGGATGAGCATCACCAGCCTATGGCACACTTAAACTTAGCTTCTTGGCTCCTTCAGACGCGAATTTGTCTACTCACCCTAACGAAAACGAAGCCACGCATGACGTGATGAGGACGATCGGCAGCAGGTTCCGCGACGGGAGACACGACAGCCCACAAGGTCTCCGGGCGGCTTGGGTCACTGAAGACGCCAAATAGCTTATGGGTCTGTCCTGCCACCGCTCCTGGCGGCCGTTCGCCTCGTAGGTGACGGTCGTGGGCTGGTAAACGGCGCTGCTTTGCGACATGGCGACGGGACACTACTCTATTCCTGCACAAAGACACTTTGAGGTTATGTTTGGTTTACGTCAAGCCATCAAAACAACTACCAAAATAATCGCCCGATTTCTCTATTGCACAACGTAATAAGGCGAAAACGGGTTCTAATTATAGAAATTTGGGTTATTGGCGGTTTGATTACTCACCGATCGATTTCATCAATGATGCGTTTTGACAGGTGTCAACAAAACTGCCACACGCGTTTTTTCGGCGGAAATTCGACGAAAAGCTACCGACTGTTTATGGGGAATGTTTTATTTCATATTCAAGGTTCCGCGACGGTTTGCTGTTAAAGGTAGACTCGCCGCGATTGGTAATGTGCTTCCGCAGGTAAAACGCAGGGGCGGCACGTGAACGGGGATTGTTTGTGGTTGTGAGGATCGCGGGTGGCTGCGGCAAGTGTCAGCGAAAATGGCCAATGGCGGGGCGTGATGGCGAAAATGGTCGCAAAACGTCAAAATTTTGAATTGACGTTTACAAAAAAATGGAATTCGGTTATTTTGCGTTACATTCGGGAAATCCAGAAACGAAACGTCTAATAGATTTGAAATTTAAATTTTAAATTGAACATAACTGAAGAAAATTTGTGCATCGGAATAATTTACATTTGCATAGTAATAATTCAGCTCGCTAGAGAGTTGGTCCAGATTATGGATCACTTTCGAAACTAATAAGAATTTCTTTGGACGCAGTAAAAACTAAAAGCACACTTTTCTTGTTCAACTGGATGCATGGGCGCCCGTTGGGGAGATTTTTGCAACGATCCAAATCATAAATAACGTCTGAAATAAATATAACCCGACCATAAGTTTCACTGCATCACAAAATAGCAATTTTTTTAAACAGTTCATCGTTTTCTTTTTCCCATTTTGATGAAAATTTTCATTACGAATTTTTCAAAATCGGTATCTCAGGTACTTGTGGAAATTTCGGAAGGCGGTTGGCGTCACTGTTTTTAGCCCACAAACATTATCGACTTTTTTTTATCGGAAATGAGATACGGTGGAATAAGATTTTGTCGAAAAAATTTCTTTTACTGTATCTCTTTTCCGACAAAAAAAAAATCACCAAAATTAAAATCAAAATGGTGATGGAAAACTGTTTTTTTTTAAATGCCATTACGTTATACTGGGTGTCTGCAAAATGGCGCATTAACTCTTCAGTACGTTATATACGTTTTTTTTTCTTTCTGAATTCTTAGTAAAGATGACTGAAATCCACCTTTTTTTTAAGACAATAACCATGACAACCAGTAGTCATTAATCGTTGTGCTTTATTATTAATAAAACAAGCTGTTATTTTTTTATTTATAATAAATAAACCAAAAAAAAAACATTAAAAAAACAAAAAGATGTTCAAAATTTCTGCCTTGTGCATATAAGTAAGCTTGCAATGTTTCCAAATTTTGGTCATTTTTTGTAAAAGTTAGTCATCAATACTTGCTAAGATAAAACTGATTTTGGTAATAAAATACACTCTAATAAAAAAGAAGGTGGGTGGGCGGGGCTAGTAGCTGCCAAAATCAGTCTTATCTTGGCAAGTTTTAGCCCCGCCCACCCACCCTCTCTCTTCTTAGAGAATGTCATCTGCAAAAATCAGTTATATCTTAGATGTACTAGCTCCTCCCACCCACGCTCTCTACTCTTAGTAGATGCTGAAATAAGACCGATTTTGGCAAATGACATACTTTCTAAGAGAAGAAAGGGTGGGTGGGCGGGGATAGTACCTACTAAGATAAAACTGATTTTGGCAGATGACATACCCTGCAAAAGAAGAGTGGGTGAGTGGGCGGGGCTAACACCTGCTAAGATAAGAGTGATTTTGGCAGATGACATACTCTCTAAGAAAAGAGAGGGTGGGCGGGGCTAGTGCCTGCCAAAATCAGTCTTATCTTAGCAAATTCTAGCCCCGCCCACCCACCCTGTCTCTTCTTAGAGGATATGTCATCTGCAAAAATCAGTCATATCTTAGATCTACTAGCTCCACCCATTCACCCTCTCTTCTCTTAGTGGCTGTTAAAGTAAGACCGATTTTGGCAAATGACATACTTTCTAAGAGAAGAGACGTTGGGTGGGCGGGGCTATTACCTGCCAAGATAAGAGTGATTTTGGAAAATGACATACCCTCCAAGAGAAGAGAGGGTGGGTGGGCGGGGCTAGCACATGCTAAGACAAGAGTGATTTTGGCAAATGACATACTCTCTAAGAAAAGAGAGGGTGGGTGGGTGGGGCTAGTTCCAGCCAAAATCAGTCTTATCTTGGCAAGTATTAGCACCGCCCACCCACCCTCTCTCTTCTTAGAGAATATGTCATCTGCAAAAATCAGTTATATCTTAGATGTACTAGCTCCTCCCACCCACGCTCTCTACTCTTAGTAGATGCTGAAATAAGACCGATTTTGGCAAATGACATACTTTCTAAGAGAAGAAAGGGTGGGTGGGCGGGGATAGTACCTACTAAGATAAAACTGATTTTGGCAGATGACATACCCTGCAAAAGAAGAGTGGGTGGGTGGACGGGGCGAGCACCTGCTAAGATAAGAGTGATTTTGGCAGATGACAAACTCTGTAAGAAAAGAGAGGGTGGGTGGGCGGCGCTAGTGCCTGCCAAAATCAGTCTTATCTTAGCCAATATTAGCCCCGCCCACCCACCCTGTCTCTTCTTAGAGGATATGTCATCTGCAAAAATCAGTCATATCTTAGATCTACTAGCTCCACCCATTCACCCTCTCTTCTCTTAGTGGCTGCTAAAATAAGACCGATTTTGGCAAATGACATACTTTCTAAGAGAAGAGACGTTGGGTGGGCGGGGCTATTACCTGCCAAGATAAGAGTGATTTTGGAAAATGACATACCCTCCAAGAGAAGAGAGGGTGGGTGGGCGGGGCTAGCACATGCTAAAACAAGAGTGATTTTGGCAAATGACATACTCTCTAAGAAACAAAAGGGTGGGTGGGCGGAGCTAGTGCCTGCCAAAACCAGTCTTATCTTAGCAAGTACTAGCCCCGCCCACCCGCCCTCTCTCTTTTTAGAAGATATGTCATCTGCAAAAATCTGTCATATCTTAGATGTACTAGCTCCACCCATTCACCCTCTCTTCTCTTAGCGGCTGCTAAAATAAGACCGATTTTGGCAAATGACATAGTTTCTAAGAGAAGAAAGGGCGGGTGGGCGGGGATAGTACCTACTAAGATAAAACTGATTTTGGCAGATGACATACCCTCCAAGAGAAGGGAGGGTGGGTGGGCGGGGCTAGCACCTGCTAAGATAAAACTGATTTTGGCAATGACATACTCTCTAAGGAAAAAGAGGGTGGGTGGGCGGGGTTAGTGCCTGCCAAATCAGTCTTATCTTAGCAAATACTAGCCCCGCCCACCCACCCTCTATTTTTTAGAGGATATGTCATCTGCAAAAATCAGTCATATCTTAGATGTACTAGCTCCACCCATTCACCCTCTTTTCTCTTAGTGGCTGCTAAAATAAGACCGATTTTGGCAAATGACATACTTTCTAAGAGAAGAGAGAGTGGGTGGGCGGGGCTATTACCTGCCAAGATAAGAGTAATTTTGGCAAATGGCATACCCTCCAAGAGAAGAGAAGGTGGGTGGGCGGGGCTCACCTCCTAAGATAAGAGTGATTTTGGCAGATGACATACCCTGCAAAAGAAGAGTGGGTGGGTGGGCGGGGCTAGCACCTGCTAAGATAAGAGTGATTTTAGCAAATAACATACTCCCTAAGAAAAAAGAGGGTGGGTGGGCGGGGATAGTGCCTGCCAAAATCAGTCTTATCTTAGCAAATACTAGCCCCGCCCACCCACCCTCTCTCTTAGAGAATGTCATCTGCAAAAATAAGTTATATCTTAGATGTACTAGCTCCACCCACCCACCCTCTCTGCTCTTATTAGCTGCTAAAATAAGACCGATTTTGGCAAATGACATACTTTCAAGGAGAAGAAAGGGTGGGTGGGCGGGGATAGCACCTACTAAGATAAAACTGATTTTGGCAGATGACATACCCTCCAAGAGAAGAGAGGGTGGGTGGGCGGGGCTAGCACCTACTAAGATAAGAGTGATTTTAGCAAATGACATACTCTCTAAGGAAAGAGAGGGTGGGTGGGCGGGGCTAGTACCTGCCGAGATAAGAGTGACTTTGGCAAATCACATACCTTCTAAGAAAAAAAAGGGTGGGTGGGTGGGGCTAGTGCTTGCCAAAATCAGTCTTATCTTAGCAAGTACTAGCCCCGCCCACCCACCCTCTTCTTTTTTGAGGGTATATCATTTGCTAAAATCAGTTTTATCTTAGAGGATATCTCATATGTCAAAATCAGTCTTGACGAAAATTAGTTCGTAGAGTAATTGATGATTTCGCACAAGAAAAAAAGAACTTGCATTCTTTTAAAACGTTTTTTTTTTTGTTTTTTTTTTGGTGCTTTTTTATTGTTATAAACATTTTAATTTTTTAACAGTTGTAATTAAATAAACAGATAAAATATACTTTTTCCCGTAAATTATCAGGTACAGTAGCGGTCATTTCTACGGAACCACTCGATAAAAAGTCAAGTTGGTAGCCCTGTCATCTAGTACTTTACTCCGAACGCGGTTGGTAGCGGTAGTTGATATAGCAATCGAAACTAGCACAACACGAATGTTTCGGTTGCCCTCAGTTATGCCGCACTGTATCCCGTGCAGACTGTATGTTCTGTTCATCTATTTATTAAAATAAAATATCTACATTGACAATGGGGCCATCTAACCTGTCAAATTTTTGACACATATGTTTTCCCCCAGAAACCCGTCAAGGTCACTTACACCAATCAAATTTTGAAAATTTACACTAGGGAGTGGTTCTATAGAAAAGATCGCGACTTTATTTGTTATTTAACAGAGTCAACATGCTATCATAACCTCAATATTTTTAATACAGATTATAACAAATAATTTTGTTGATGTGTTTTATGGTTTGCTTTTAGATTTACATTTTATGCTACAGTTATTATTCAGTAAATCAATTTATAAAAAAAATAATGTAACAAAAATTAACAGTCAGATACAACATGTGAAAAAGGTACTTAAAAAAATTGTTAAACCAGAAAAAAAATTACGTCTCATGTTTTAAAAGAAAAAAAACTTTTTAAAACAATTGAAATGGACGTTTTTTATTCGCTAACAACTCCATGTGCAGTAGGCTCCAGAAAAAACGGGAATGGAATTTTTGTACAATGTAAAATGTACCTATCTCTTACTTGTCAATTTGACAAACCTGTTAAATATTTATCAGTTATCACTATTTTGACACAAAATTTTAGCGATGTCATTATTGTTCTAACCTATTTCAAAATAGGCCCGTTTAAACTAGGAAAATTCACACAATATTCTGTCATACTAACCATGGTACATA